GATGGGGGATTCTGGGAGTGGAAGTCCTCCCCTCTTAAAGCATCCTGGATGGGGCATTCTGGGAGTGGAAGTCCTCCCCTCTTAAAGTACGCAACCTGGGGGATTCTGGGAATTGAAGCTGAGTTCTCACAAGGAACTAAACCACAGAAGCTTGTAGATTGAGCCATGTTCCAGCTGCAACCCAGCCAAGGGTCCCCCCAGTCCTGGGGCGGCTGCTGGTTGTTCCCCCCAGAAGCCCCTACTCTTCCCATGGCCTCCCCCCCCCCTCCCCTCATCCCATCCACTCCCAGGCCAGAGGGATCCCTGGCTTGAATTCTGTGGCTGGAGATGTCTCCCCTTGGCTCAATCCCGGATCATTCGCCCGTCATATTGGCTCGGGCTCGAGTCTGGAGTTCTCAGCCGCGTGCGAATCCCCGCAGCCACCCTCAAGATCCGTTCCCACGATCAGCCAAGTCAGAGATTGCCAGACGCCAGGGGGAAAATTCCAAAGCCCATTTCCCTCTCCAGCCCTCTTTCCTGGTCGGGGATGATGGGCGTGGGTAGGGCTGTTGCTGGTATTCCGGCCTCTGCGGGGGTCTCCCTCCCTCTCTCTCTCTCTCTCTCTATACCCCTCCTCTCTCCCTCCCTCCCCAAGCGCCGCCCCCTCCCCTCCCATCCTCTTCTCCCCCCCCCTCCCACTTCAGGAGGCGGCTGGCCACTCGGCGCTGCTGCTGGAGGCGAGGCGGCCGCGGATGATGGGGCGGAGGAGGAGCGGTGGGGCGGCGGCGGCAGCGGAGCGCTGATCGCGGAGGGGAGGCAGGCGGGCAGGGGGCGCGGTCGGTCCGGCGGGCGAGCCCAGAGCCCCGCGGCGAGGATGGGGGCGCCCCCCGCCGCCCCCCGGCTGGCCCTCCTGGCGTTGCTGCTGGCGGGTAGGTGGGCCTGGAAGATGCGGTGGGGGGTCTCGAGAATCCGTAGAAGGGTCTCTCCGAGCCCCCTCACCATATTGAGTAAAGCCGGCCAAAGAGATGGGGAGGGGTCTTTGCCTTAAATGCAAGCTTGGGTCTTTCTGGGCTCCTTCCCGCTCGGATTTGGGGAGGGGGGAGCAATAGGGTGGGGGAATGATGAGGGGGAGCATTGGGGTGTTGCCTCCCCTTGAAACGTGTCCCCCAAATCCACACAGAGCATCCTTAGAAGAGATGCGGGGAGAGGTTCGCGCTAAAATCGCAGCACGCCCCCCCCCTCACCCGCCCAATTCCAACCGTGGGGACTGAAGGGGGAAGGGGCGGTTGCGGAAATCTCGGGGTTCTCTAGATTTAGGGGAGGGGGCGGCGGATAAAGGGGTCTCCCCCTCCCTAGCTATCAATCAGCGTATGATAGGGAGAATGCGATGGAGTCCCTTTCGCCGGGAAAGGCGGGGGTTCCCGGGAGGGGGGGTGGGCAGCCATGGGAGCCAAGAAGGGGAGGGGTCCTACTCTCTCCCCCCCACCCCCAACTTCCTCAGCCCGCTAGTTCTCAAACGGACTGGGCTACAAAGCCCAACATCCCCAGCCAGGACAGCCGAAGGCGCGGGGTTTTTAATACAAGTTGGCCATCATTTCACGAACGGGATGGGGGGACTAGAATTAGAGGAAGGGGCCAAGATGAGGAGGGGACGGAGGGCAGCATCACCACGAATGATTTGTGGTTCCTGACCATGTGCAGAAAATCCGCCCGCCCCGCCCTCCACACACACACACCTTTCTCCTTTTTCCTTTTGGGGGGGGAGTGCGGGACGTCGGGATTCTGGGAGGGGTCTTTGCAAAGTGGGGAGGGAGGCCTGTATTTGGGGGCAGGGGAGCGGCTTGTCTGCTTGGTTGCGACCCCCAGCCCACCCCCAGCAGGTGAAAAGAACCCCCCCATGGGTGTGGCTCAGAGAAGGGGATGGAGACCACTCCCCAAAAATGGGGGGTCCACAGGTGTGCCCCTCCCTCATTGCAAGCCTCTGCCTTCCATCTTTTTTTCCCTCCGTTTTTTCCTCCTTCCTTCCTTCCCTCCCACTCTTCTTTCCATTTCTTTTCCTTCCTCCTCCTTCCTTTTCATCCCTCTTCCCTTCTTCCTTCCTCCACCTCATATTGCCTTCTCTTTCATTTTCCTCCCTCTCTCTTTCTCTCCTTTCCTCCCTCCTCCTCTTCTTCCCTGCTTCTCTCCCTCCCTTCCTCCATCCTTTCCCCCCTTTTATCTTCTTCCACCTCTCCCTCCCTTCCTTCTCTTCCTTCCCTTCTCTTTCATTTCCTTTCCTCCATCCCTCCATCTCTCCTCCTCTTCTTTCTTCCCTGCCTCTCTCCCTCCTCCCCTCCTCTTTCCATCCTTTCTTCCTTTTCTCCTCATCTCCCTTCTTCCTTCCTTCCTTCCTTCATCCCTCCCCTCTCTTCATTTCCATTTTCCTCCCTCCATTTCTCCTTCCTCCCTTCCACTCTTCTTCCCTCCCTCCTCTTTTCCTGCCTTCCTCCCTTCTTCCTTACTTTTCCTCCCTCCTTCGTTCCTTCGTTCCTCCCTTTCCTGTCCTCTCTTCCATTTTCTTTACTCAATCCCTCCTCCTTCTTCCCACCCTCCCTCCCTTCCTTCTTTCCTCCCTTCTTCCCACCCTCCCTCCATTTTTCTTTCCTCCCTTCCCTCTTGCTCTTTTCTTCCTTCCTTCCTCCCTTCTTCCTTACTTTTCCTCCCTCCTTCGTTCCTTCGTTCCTCCCTTTCCTGTCCTCTCTTCCATTTTCTTTACTCAATCCCTCCTCCTTCTTCCCACCCTCCCTCCCATCTTCTGTCGTTTCTTCCATTTTTCCCTACATCCATCCTCCCTTCCTTCCTCAACCCGCCTTCTTTCCTCCCACCCTTCCCTGTCCTCTTCCATTTTCTTCCCTCCATCCCTTCTTCTTTCCTTTCTCCTGCCCTCCCTCATTTTCTTTCCTTCCTTCCCACCCTCCACCTTTTCTCCCTCGCTCTTTTCCTTCCCTTGCTCCTTTTTTCTTTCCTTCCCCTTCCCTCCATCCCTTCCTTCTTCTCCTGCCTTTCTTTCCTTCCCTCCCTCCTTCCCATCCGTTCTCCTTTCCTTTCCTTCCTCCCTCTCTCTTTTCCTCCCTTGTTCCTTTTTTCCCTCCTCCCTCGCTTCCTTCTTTCTCCCCTTCCCTTCCTTCCTTCTTTCCCTCCTCCCTCCCTCCCTGCCTCTTTCCCTTCCTTTTTTGCTTCCTTCTTTTTTTCCTTCCTTCCATCCCTTCTTTCCTCACTCCCTCCCTCCTTCTTCCTCCCTCCCTCCTCCCTTCCTTCTTCTCCTGCCTTCCCTTCCTTCCCTCCCTCCTTCCCCTCCGTTCTTCCTTCCTTTCCTTCCTCCCCCTCTCTTTTCCTCCCTTGTTCCCTTTTTTCCTTCCTCCCTGGCTTCCTTCTTTCTCCCCTTCCCTTTCTTCCCTCTTTCCCTCCTCCCTCCCTCCTTGCCTCTTTCCCTTCATTTTTTGCTTCCTTCTTTTTTTCCTTCCTTCCATCCCTTCTTTCCTCCCTCCCTCCTTCTTCCTCCCTCCTTCCCTTCCTTCTTCTCCTGCCTTTCTTTCCTTCCCTCCCTCCTTCCCATCCATTCTCCTTTCCTTCCCTTCCTCCATTTCTCTTTTCCTCCCTTGTTCCCTTTTTTCCTTCCTCCCTCGCTTCCTTCTTTCTCCCCTTCCCTTCCTTCTTTCCCTCCTCCCTCCCTCCCTGCCTCTTTCCCTTCCTTTTTTGCTTCCTTCTTTTTTTCCTTCCTTCCATCCCATCTTTCCTCCCTCCCTCCTTCTTCCTCCCTCCTCCCTTCTTCTCCTGCCTTCCCTTCCTTCCCTCCCTCCTTCCCTCCCTCCTTCCCATCCGTTCTTCCTTCCTTTCCTTTCCTTCCTCCCTCTCTCTTTTCCTCCCTTGTTCCCTTTTTTCCTTCCTCCCTCGCTTCCTTCTTTCTCCCCTTCCCTTCCTTCCTTCTTTCCTTCCTCCCTCCCTCCCTGCCTCTTTCCCATCCTTCCTTTTTTGCTTCCTTCTTTTTTTCCTTTCTTCCATCCCTTCTTTCCTCCCTCCCTCCTTCTTCCTCCCTCCTTCCTTTCCTTCTTCTCCTGCCTTTTCTTCCCTCCCTCCCTCGTTCCCATACGTTCTTCTTTCCTTCCTCCCTCTCTCCTTTCCTCCCTTGTTCCCTTTTTTCCTTCCTCCCTCGCTTCCTTCTTTCTCCCCCTCCCTTCCTTCCTTCTTTCCCTCCTCCCTCCCTCCCTGCCTCTTTCCCTTCCTTCCTTTTTTGCTTCCTTCTTTTTTTTCCTTCCTTCCATCCCTTCTTTCCTCCCTCCCTCCTTCTTCCTCCCTCCCGGCTACACCTCCTGGGAATAAATCCCTCTTTACTACGGAGAGAATCCAGAGAATGAATCAGGTCGTGTGGGAAATGCTGCTATTTTGGTTCAGGCGCAGGGGTGGGAATAAAGAAATGGTATATTTTTTGTATCCCCCCCCCTCTCCTTGGGAAAAGCCCCTTGGGGTCCCCACTCCCACAGAGGCCTGTGTGTGTGTGTGTGACCAAAGTGGGGGGGGTAGTCATGGGGAGGGGGGGAAGCCAGAGAGAGACACCCCCCCCCATGTCCCATGTCTCTGTTTTCCTTCCTTGCAGCCTCTGAGTCCCATCCTAGTTTCCCGGGTGACCCCAAAGTATCGGGACCCCTCTGGAGGAGCAGCCAAGAGCCCCCCCTTCTCAGCAGCCATCCCCCGATGAAAGAGCATCCATCTCCCCCTGGGCAGACCCCCAGGTCGGGGGGCAACGTCTCCATGGCCCAGGTGTCATCTCTGCAACCGGCCCAGGCCAAGGAGTCCCAGCTGGTTCCCCCCACTCTCCCTCCCACCCGTGTCTGGCAACCTGCGTGGGAGCCCAAAACCCAGCCGGTTCTCTGCCCCGGCTGCTCTCGGCGGACAGCGCGGGAGATGGCAGGGAGTGATTCACACCCAGACCCTGGCACGGAAGATTCCTCAGCCGCCCCACGCGTGGCTCCCCCAGGCCGGGCAGAAGACGCCACTTGGCGGCTTTTCGACCGAGGCAAAGCCGGGCCAGGCAGCCAAGAAGACGTGGGCAGCGGAGACCCCCATGCGAAGACCCCTCTGAATCGCGGGTGGGCCACAGCGCATCCACCACGCGATTTCAACCCGCTCGGCCGGGAGAGAGATCTCCTGCTCGAACCCACGCGATCAACGCACGACCCACAAACAACTGAGACCTTGCGAGGAGCCGGGGGCGTCCCGGGCCCAAAGGAAGAGACCCCCAGCCACAGCCCGAACCTGGAGACCCTCCCTTCCATCGCGCCCCCTGCCGTCAAAATCAAGCAGACCCCTTCCTCCGACCCGCTGGCCTCGGAGATAATCGACGTCGATTATTATGACCTTTTCGACGGAGGCGCCTTGCGAGGGCCTGGCATGGACTCCACCAAGGCGAAACCCCCCGTGGACAAAGGGGTCTCGTGGCCCTTCCGTGACCTTTACGACGAGTTCAGCCCTTTCGACGAGTCAGATTTCTACCCCACGACCTCCTTTTATACCGACGGCGACGAGGAAGAGGAGCCAGAAGAGGAAGAGGAGGAGGAAGAGGAGGAGGAGGAGGCAGGGGCCGCGGAGGAAGAGGAGGAGGGGAAGGACCTCCAGGTCCCAACGCCCACACCCCCCAAAATCCACAGCAAACTCCCCGGCGCAGAGCCCACCGCCCGCCGCTTTCTCCATCCCCCGTTACAGACCTTTGTCATTTCGGGGGCCGGCGGACGAATCCTCTCCGGGCCAGTTTCAGGGGATCCAGCCCGGGAAACGGGCGTCCCGGAGAACGGCACCGAATGCCGCGTAGGCTACACCCGACACAATGCGACCTGCAAATCAGTCTGTGACACCTTCCCAAGTTATTGCCACAACGGGGGGCAGTGTTACCTAGTAGAGAACTTGGGCGTCTTCTGCAGGTGAGTGGGGGGGAGGCTGGAAAAGGGCCTGGGGTCCCTCTGGGCTGCCAGATTTTCCGAGGGGAAGATGGGGGTGTGTGTGCGATACGGACACACACACACACACACCCCACTTACCTTCAAGCAGGAGAAACTAGGTGCGATGTCTTTTAAACTTTGGGGGAAGGGTTGAATATGTGCACATCTGGGGGGCATTTGAGACCTATTTTTGCTGGGAAAGGGTCATTCGTAAGGGGGGGGGCTTCCCTCTCTGGTCTTCAAAACACCCCCTCCCTTATGGTTCACAGGTGTACATTCTCCATGTGTTTGTCTCCCAGGTAAATGGAGTGCAGAAAGCAGTGCGGGACGCTGCCACCACCCTACGCTACCCCAGCAGAGAGAGAAGGAAAGAGAGGAGAGAGAGAGAGAGAGAGAAGGAGACAGAGGGAGATAGAAAGGAAGAATGAGAGTGGAAAAGAGAGGGGGAGGGGGAGAGAGGAGGGGAGAGAAAGAGGGAAACAGAAGCAGAGAAACAGAAAAAAAAATAGGAGGAACAGAGAGAATGGGAGAGAGAATGAGATGAAGAGAGAAAGAATGGAGGAGAAGGGGTGAGGGAGAGATGAAGAATGAGTGAGAAACAAAAAGAGAAATGGAATGAGGGAGATAGAAAGAGGGAAAGGGGGAAACAGAATGAGAGGGGGAGAAATAGGGAGAGAGAAACAGAAAGAAATAGAAGAGGAGAGAATGGAAGAGAGGCAGAGAGAGAGAGAGAGAGGTGAAAGAAAGAATGGGAGAAAGAATGAGAGAGGAAGAGAGAATGAGGAAGGGGGAAAGAGAAGGAGAGAGTGAGAAAAAGAGAAAGAAAATGAGAAAGAGGGAGAAAGAGAGGGAGAGAGAAAGAAAGAGGAGGGGAAAGAGAAGTTGAGAGAGAAATAGAAAGAAAGGCTAAGAGGAGAGGAAAGAAAGAAAAGTGAAAGAGAGGAGAGAAAAAAAGAAAGAAAGAGAGAGGAGAGATAAAAGGAGAAGAAGCATTAAAGAAAAATGGAGAGAATGAGAACTAGAGAAAGAAGGAGAGATGGGTGTGAAAGAAAAACAATAAAAAAGAGAGAATGAATGAGAGAGGAGAGGGAGAGAAAGGGAGAAAGTAACAGAGAAAGAGAAAGAGAGAAAAACAGAGAAAGAGGGAGATGAATATTGTAGTTCTAGGCCCTAGGATCTCTGGGGTCTCCTCCTTGAGCTGGGGGTTAGATTGGATGACCTCCCAGACCCCTTCCAACTATTCTGTTCATGAAAGCACCTGTCTCAATTCTCACATGGAGCTGAGACACACACACACACATACACCTTGTTTCAAAAGCACTCTGCACATGCTCGGGTGTTCCTCTTTGCCGCCTCTCTTCCCAGAGGTTTAATTGATGTTGTGAGCCATTAAAAGGAGACAATTAAGGAGGGAGGGGGGAACTTGGGGTGGGGGAGGGGTATTGAAACCTCTCCCTCTTGAGACCCTCCTTGGCCGGGCGGGGAAGAGAGAACCCCCCTCCCTCTTTCCCCAGAGGGAATCTCTCACCCTTCCTTTCTCCCCCCCCCCATCTGCGACCAAGGGAGGGGGTCCTTTGACAGCCCCCTCCCCTCTGAAAATTCTGTCCCTTGATCCCAAAAACCAGGAACAAAGATGATAGTGGCCATTTTAGAACTCCTCACTTTTGACCCCTCCTGTGGGAAAAGACCCCCCAACCCCCTTCAGCTGCCCCCAGACTCAAAATGGGGCTTTTGAGGGTCTCTTCTCAGTGGGCGGGGGTCAGACTGAACCCAAGAGACCTCCTCCCCTTTTCCTCCACCCCTATCTTGGAAAGGGAGGGGTGTCACCTTGGACCTCGTCCCCTCCCAAATGTCCAACTCCCCCCATCTCAATTCCTCTGGACCTCAGACCCTCGGAAAATGCCCCCTCCTCAAATAAGCATTCTGGGCCTAACATGACTGCCTAGTCCTTCTGCTGACACTCACACACACCGAGAAAGAGGGGGGGACAGGGATGGGGGATCTTAAGGCAGGTAGTCCTCAATTTACGACAAAACACGAGTACATTTACATCGCTAAGCGAGGTAGGTAGGTTTTGCCCTGTTTAACGACTTTTCCATCCCAAATCCAACGTCGAGGCAGGCCGCCTTTGACTTATGATGGCAATTCCACCCCAAAGTGAGACGGTGGTTGAGTTTTATCCCATTTTATGACATTTCTGGCCATTGTTGTTAAGCAAATCCCCGCGGTCATGAAGTCAGTCACACCGCCATTAAGTGAATCAGCCTCCCCGCCCCCTTGAGTTTGCTCATTGGAATGTGGCGAAAGGGGAATCATGTGGACACAGCAACCGTCCTAAGGACGAGTCACTTGCCAAGAACTCTTGATCGCATGACCATGGGAATTTCGCCCCGGTCGTAAGCGTGAAAAACAGCAGTTGGTCACTTTCTTCCACGCCGTTGTAATTCGGGCAGTCATTAAAGAAGGACTCCCTGTACCAGATGCATGAAGGCACGTACTTCCCCCTTCCTTGGGACTACAGACCCCATCTTTCTCTCCAGCAGGGGACAATGGGAGGTGTAATCCAACCTATCCAGCTTTTGGGGGGGGGATTTGGAGCCCCTCCCTGGCCCGGAGGCCCCTGCCCTTTATTGGGGTGCTTCAGAGCCCTATATTGGGGTGTCATGCCCCCCCCCAAGTCCTACAAAAACCAGGGTGCAGGGTCCCTCCATCAGAAACGGATCAAAGGACCCATAATCCACCAATTTGCTTTCCATTGTGCCCCCTCCTCTTGGGACCCACAGTGTGAGGGGGGAACTGCTGCCTTGCTTCTACTTTGGGGGGGGGGGGCCAACCCCCCCCCAATCTAAAGCCAATACAGGAAGTCCTCGACTTACGGCCACCGTCCATCCCCCGCCCCTCTCAATTTCCACTACTTGGTGAGACATTCACTAAGGGGGTTGTGCCCCATTTCATGCTCAGTTGTTAAGTGAATCACTGCAGTGGCTAAGTCAGTCACATGGTTGTTAAGCGGATTGGGCCTCCTCCCCCCCCCACCCCACCCCCCCGGACTTTTCTCATTGCAAAATGGGGGGGGGCGAACCTTAACCCTCCCTCCCCCTCGGGATGCTGCGACCGTCATAGGTACGAGTCAGTTGCCCCGCGTCTGAATTTGGATCGTGGTGCGGCTGCGACGGTCGTAAGGTTGAAACAAACGGCCCTGTGTCGCTTCTTTCAGTGCTATGCTAACTTTGAATGGTTATTGAATGAACGGTCGTAACTCAGGCTCTGTGCATGGAGCCCATCCTCTTCGCAGATCCCCTACTCCTAAATTCCACAGATAGGGAAGACCTCCCCCCCCCCCACTTCCTCCCAGAAGCAGGCAGATGGTATTCGGAGTCGTCCTCCAGCATCCCCCTCTGCCGGAATTAGGTCAACGCCATCCAAAGCCGTTAATCCGCTTGGTCGGCCAGGCAGAACACGGTCAGAAATGGAACCCAGATCCCCACGGAGAGATCCTGAAGCCGGGAACAATGTGGATTTTGCAGAGATCTATTGGCGGGGAGTTCCGTAGATTCCCAGTAACTCCAGCCAAGAGGGAAGATATATAGAATGCAGAATGCAGAGTTGGAAGGGACCACAGAGGTCTTCTAGTCCAACCCCCTGCTCAAACAGGAGAGCCTATACAGGAAGTCCTCGACTTACGACAGCCTGTTACAGTGACCATTCCAAGTTTCAGCGGCACTGAAAAACGTGTCGCATGATGGCCATTCACATTTACGACCACGTAGCCTCCCTGTGGTCACAGGATCAGAGTTCAGGCTCATACGTATGACAGTTCCAGTGCCATACGACCCACTCTTGCAACCGTTGGACGAGCCACGTCAATGGGGAAGCCTGGTTCATTTAAAGACCGGGTTGCTAAGTGAGACGTTTGTGAAGGTAGTTTTGCCATGATTCACTTAACAACGGTGGCCAGAGAGGACATTTGAAGGGGGCAAAACTCAAGACGTAATGAATGTCTCACCTAACGACTGAAATTTTGAGCTTGAATGTGGTCGTAGGTTGAGGACTACCCATTTAACAATGGGCACATTGCCACCCTATGTAATAACATATAAGATAAGAAGGAAATATATAAATCCGAAATACCAGGAAGAATCTTAGATAATATTAAAATTATATTATAATATGAATTTAAGATCTGTCGCTTTTTCCATCAGTCTCCTGAGCATAATACAAGTAATCCTCGGACTTATGACCACAATGAAACCCAAAATTTCTTTCGCCAAAATGCAATGGTTGTTAAAGAGTTTGGCCCCGTTTAATGACTTTCAGCCCATCACGTTTAAGCAAATCCCTGGTATCGTTAAGTTGGTCACACCGTCCTTAAGTGAATCTCCACCGTGGCAAAGTTAGTCAGACGGTCGTTCAGAGAATCGGGATTCTCCCATTGTCTGTGCTGGCTGGAAGGTCGCAAAAGTGGATCACATGACCCTCATAAATATACGAGTCCATTGCCGTCTTCATCACGGGGATGGGGCAATGGGCGTAAGTCTGAGCAATGGTCCGAAGTCACTGTTTCCAGTGCCATCTCTCTCCTAACTCTCAACAGTCACTAAATGAACTGTCATAAATCGAGGACTACCTAGAATCCTTTTGGCCCTGTTAATCCAGAAAAGCGAAAAATAAGGAGATGTCTAGTATACTAGTCCTCGCTTAGTGACCATTCGAAGTTACAACAGCACTGAAAAAAATGACTTGTTATTCTCACTTATGACCGTTGCGGCATCCCCATGGTCAGGTGATCCAGACTGAGACCCCCTTGTCATGTGACCCCCCCTTGGCAACCTCCTGATGAGCAAAGTTAATTGAGGATCCCAATTCACTTAACAACTGTGTCACTCACTTAACGACAGTGTTGATTCACTTAACAATGATGGCCGGAACAAAGGTGACAAAAAGATACAAAACTCCCTTCCCTGCTGTCTCACTTCACGACGGAAATGTTGGGCTCAGTGGCGGTCGTAAGGAATGGGATACCTATAGCGGCATTTCCAATTGGAGATTTTATATAATGCCAAATCTTTTCACATACGTCACAAAAAATGTCCTAATAATTTAATTTAGTTTTAGTTTTAGCTTAATTTACTTTAGTTTAATTTAATTATTTTGCTTTATTTTTTTATTTAATTAATTTAATTTACTTTATTTTAGTTTACTTGAATTTAGATTTATTTTATTATTTTGTTTAATTTGATTTCGTTAGTTTAGAATAGTTTAAATTAAATTTAAAAAATTAAATTATTTTAAGTTTTTATTTTTTGTTTTTTATTATTTAATTTAATTTTGTTAGATTAGTTTAGTTTAAATTAAATTAATTTAAAAAATAAATTGAATTAAGAATGTAAAAAATAAATTAAATTAATAATTTAAAAAATAAATTGAATTAATAATTTAAAAATAAATTGAATTAATAATTTAAAAATAAATTGAATTAATAATTTAAAAATAAATTAAATTAATAATTTAAAAATAAATTACATTAATAATTTAAAATTTTTTTTTAATTTTTTAAAATATTTTTTTAAATTTTTGGATTTTGATTTAATTTTTTTATTTTAATTCAATTTTTTGATTTGATTATTTCATGTTTTATTATTTACATTTTTCATTTTTTTCATAATTTTTTCATAATTTTTCAATTTTTTTAAAAAAAATATTTTTTCCCCATTCCATTTAGTTGCAAATGGCGCTACCCCTCTCCTCTGGATGTGAATTTTACACGGGCAGGGGAGGGTGAGGGACAAAAAACCGTGTTGTGGTGCTATCTTACAGGCCAGCCAATCCAATCTGTCGCCGGCTTCTGTCCTTAAGATAGACTGCCTCCTTCCAGGCAGTAATTATTTGCATCCCTAAACCGAGAGAGAGAGACAGAGCTGGGATGGGGGATTGCACAGGATTAGTCCAAACCTTTGCCGGTCCTTCTCCCCTTAGGTGCAACACCCAGGACTACATCTGGCACAAGGGGCTGCGCTGCGAGTCCATCGTGACCGACTTCCAGGTGATGTGCGTGGCGGTGGGCTCGGCCGCCCTGGTGGTCCTGCTCCTCTTCATGATGACCGTCTTTTTCGCCAAGAAGCTCTACCTACTCAAGACCGAGAACCTCAAGCTGCGGAAGAGCAAGTGAGTGGCAGGGAAGGAGGGTGGTGGGTTGTCCCCAGCAAAAGGATGTCCTCCTTGATGTAGCCCCTTCTCCCTCCCTCCCTTCCTCTTTCTTCTTTCCTTGCCTCCCTCCTTTTCCTTCCTTTCCTCCCTCCCTCCCTCTTGCTTCCTTCCCTCCCCTTTCTTCCTCCCTCCCTCCCTTTTCCTCCCTCTCCTTCCTTCCTCCCTCTCATTATTCCCCCTCTCTCCTCTCTCCCATTTCCTTCCTTCCTTTCCACATTCCTCCCTCGCTCCCTCTCCTCCCTCCCTTTCCTTCCTCTGTTGTTTCTTCCTTATTTTCCTTCTTTCTCCCTCTCCTCCCTCCTTCCCCTGCTCTCTTAACCTCCCTCTCTTCGCTGCCTCTCCTCCCACCCTCCCTCTCCTCCCCCCATTTCCTCTTCTCTCCCTCCCTCCTATCTACCCCCTTCCCATCTTTCTTCTTTCCTCTCCTCCCTCCCTCCCCTCCTTCTCTTCCCTTCTTTTCCTCCCTCCCATCTCCTTCCTCCCTTTCTTCTTCCCTCATTCCATTCTTCCTTCCTTCTTCCTCCCTCCCATCTCCTTCTTCCCTTTCTTCTTCCCTCATTCCATTCTTCCTTCCTTCTTCCTCCCATCTCTTCCCTCTCCACTTCCCATCTTCCTTCCTCTCCCTCTTTCTCTCCTACCCCTCTCTCTCCTCTCTCTCCTCCTTGAACTCTCCCTCTCTTTCCTCCCTCTCCTCCCTCCCTCCATGATCAAAGGGGTTGTATTGTCAATTAGAGCCCCTCTCTTAAGGGTCCAGAGGCGGCAGGCAGAAGTTATTCTGGGCAACAGCTACCCATTGTGCCTGGAGAAACATGAAGAACAGTTGCAGGAATTTGTTGATATGTAGTTTAGTGAAAAGAAGGGTGGGGTGGGGACATGATAGTATTTTCCCAAAGCTGAGGGCACACCCCATAGAAGAAGGGGGGTCAGCCTGTTCTCTAGAGCACCTGGAAGGAGGACCAGAAGCCTGGAAACTCATCAAGGAGAGAAGCAACCTGAAACTAAAGAGTGAAGACAATTAACCAGTAGAAGGACTTCGCACCAGGTGGTCCATCACTGGAGGTCTTCAAGAAAAGATTGGACAAGCGTTTGTCCGAAACGGTAGAGGGTCTCCTGCTTGAGCAGGAGGTTGGAGTAGAAGACCTCCAAGGTCTCTCCCGCCTCTCTACTTCAACAATTCTCTACTATATTCTCTGTCACCAACATCTTCCGAACCTTCTGAACTCTCCCTTCGACCTTCTCCCATCCATCTCCCACTCTTGGAGGACTGGAAGAACTCCAAGGTCTCCCTTCAAAGTCTTCTGCTCTTCATCCCCACACACGGTGTCTTCCTTCCTCTGAAGATGGTGAGGCCCCAACCTTCCTTCCTCCGTAACTCTGGAGAGCTAAACCTCCATCCACCTTCCCAGGTGCCTTCTTCAAAAACTGGCCGATGTAAGAGGATCTCTCCATTTGGTCATGGACCAAATTTTCCGCTCGGTTGTTCTCAGCGCTACACCGGAGGAGACGTTTTCCAAGACAGCTGTTAGCAGCGGAGCTCCCTAGAGATCCATCTTCTCCAGTCTCTGATTTATGGACGGACCTTCTGCTGGGCAAGATGCCAACTTGGCTGTGGATAAGATGAAGAGGCCTCGGTTGTTGATGGCTGGTTGGTCTTCAAGCTATCAATTTCCAGGATAAATCGTCCGCTGTATTCCGCCAAGGAGCCGAATCACCTTCCTCTCCGAGAAGCAGAATGTTGCAGCGAATTTAAAAAAGGAGAAGAGGCGGGAAGCGTCAAACTCAATTTTGTCCCTTTAACTAATGTGGAGATGGTTGTCCACCACGTGGGGAAGTGCGCCTAGGTTTCACGTCCCAAGGGCTAGGCGCCGGGCGTGCTGTTTTGAGACGAGAGAAGCCATGCTGAGCCATCAAGGAAAGTTCACACGAAGAGCTGGTTTGGGTAAAGACTTAAGGCAGCAGACTAGAAACCGAGAGACTGGGAGTTCTAGTCCTGCCTTAGGGAGGAAAGCTGGCTGGGTGACTTTGGGCCAGTCACCAGGAGGTAGCGAATTCTAGTTTTCTTTTGGCATAAACATTGACTAGTTGACTTTGGGCCAATCACCAGGACTTCTAGTTCTGTTTTAGGCATGAAATCAACAGGGCAACTTTGGGCCAATCACTAGGAGACTGGGAGTTCTAGTCCTGCCTTGGGCATGAAAGCAAGTGAGCATCGTAAAAGCTGGACGCCTGACCCCAGGACACTAGAAAACCTGGATAAAGCAAGTCTACAAACACAGGCCATCCTCAACGTATGACCACAATTGAGCCCCAAATTTATGTTGCTAAGTGGGACATTTGTTAAATGAGTTTTGCCCCATTTTATCACCTGTCTTGCCTCTTTTGTCAAGCGAATCACTGCGCTTGTTGGTCACACGGTTGTGAAGTGAACTCGGCTTCCTCGTTGCTCGTCAGGAGGTCGGAAAGGGGATCACGTGACCCTGGGACACCACAACCGTCATAAATACGAGTCAGTTGCCAAACATCCTAATTGTGATCACGTGACCAAGGGGTGGGTGGGGAAATGCTGGAAGTGCGAATACCGGTCATCCGCCTCTTTTTTCCCAGCGCCGCCGTAACTTCGAATGGTTTCTAAACAAACTTTTCTCGGTCAAGGACGTTCACACCATGATTGGACTAGATGACCTCCAAAGTCCCTTCCAACACGGGTCATGGGTTCAACCTGTCATTGGGTTTGGCGTGAAGGCCCGGAGCACGCCCAGCTTTTGGGGTCAAAGCCTACTGGCTCGGGGTCTTGGATAGTCCTCGGATATAAGACCGTCAATCAATGAGAATCGAGCTTGGAAGGGACCTTAGAGGTCTTCTAGTCCAACCCCCCCATTGCTGGTTGCACGTTCATAGAATGCCTTCATGGAAGGCCATTTGTGGGTGAGGGGAGGCACCATTTTCTCGTTCCCCAGAATACGGAGTGCTCGCTTTCTCTCCCCCCCAGCCCGGTCTAGATCCGAACCAACCCCCTCTTGGCAGATGTGGGTTGTGTTTCCTCCCCCCCACTTTCCCAACTTCTCAAACTCCTGAGGTCCAGCCTCCTCCATGCAAAGAAGAGAATGTCAAATTTTGGGGGCCAGTCATCTGTGACATCCCCCCCCACCCCGGTCAAGTGGGGTGGGTAGAGATTGGACTATCCGTGCGTAGAAATTGGCAAATTCCATTTCTTGCAAAGATCGTGGGAGCAGCCTGGCTCGTCCTCCCTCCCCCCCCACCTCCCACATTCCTCCTTTGCTTCTGTTGGGACTTGCTCACAGATGCAAATGAGCCGTTTCCCCCCCCCTCCTGCGACCCCAATGCAGGACCCCGATCCCCCCTCCCCTCCCTCCCCCCCCATCCCTCCTTTTTGCGGAACCTGGGAGAATTTCCACAAAGTCCCTCAGTAGTTTTGTTTTGCAAAGGGACATTTGAGCCCATTGAGAGCAGATGGTGCATTGTCTTACGGAGGGGAGGGGGAGGGTTAAGGGACTATGGGGAGGGGGCATCTGGGGAGATTCTGGCACTGAGCACTGTGGGGGGGGGCGAGGGTCAAAGGTCAGGGGAAAGGGAACAAAGCCGGCTGCAATGGAAAGATTCCCGGTTCCCACGGTCAGTGGTATTGAGGGGAGTGGGATGGGGAATCGGGGCGTTGAAAAGGCTGGTTTGCCAGGGGGAAAAGAAGCTCTTGGGGGGCCAGCGATGGCTTGAATGCAAAGCTGGAAGGGTGGGTGGGCAGGAAGGGGGGGGGCTTCATTCATGCAGAGAGAAACCCACGGATGTTTTCGAAACCTCTCAGTGTTGCCCAGAGAAAACTTTTTAAGGTTTTCCTATAAAGGGGTTTGGGGTTCAGGAAAGAGAAACACCTCCCCATCCCCTAAAAGGGGGCATTTGAGAAAGACCCCAGCCCCTCCAAAGGTCTTCTACGATTTACCCATCCCACAAAGCAAAGGCTAATGCAAATAGGCTTCGACTTACGACCGCCATCCAGCGCCCCAAATTTCTGCTGCTGAGCGAGATGGTTTGAAGGGAAATTTTGGCCCCGTTTTATGAACGTTGAATTATTCGTTGAATTGGTGATTAAGTCAGTCACATTCGTTAAACGATTCACTTTGGAGGTCAAATTAGTCACACGGTTGTTAAGTTGTAGGGGAGGGGAGGGGAGGGAGGGAGAAATAGCGAAACAGAAAGAAAAAGAGGAAGAAAAGAGAATGAGAAACAAAAAAAATGAAAGAAAGATATGGAAAGAAGGGAGAAAGAGAAGGGAGGAGAGAGAAAGAAAAAGAAAGAAGGAAAAAGAGACAGAAAAACAAAAGAGAAAGAAAAAAGGATCAGAAAGAAAGAAAGAGAAAGAAGAAAGGAAGGAGAAAGGAAAGGAAGAAAGAAAGGGGGAGGGAGAAATAGAGAGAAAGAAAAAATGAGAAAGAAAAAATGAGAAAGAAAAAAGATGAAAGAAAAGGAAGGGAGAAAGAAGGAAGGAGAGAGAAAGAAAAATAGATGGATAAAGAGACAGAAAAAACACAAAAGAGAGAAAAAGATCAGAAAGTAAGAAATAAGAAAAAGAACGAAAAAGAAACTAACAAACCAGAGAAATAAAAAACAGAGATGGAGGGTGAGAGAAAGAAAGAGAAATAAAAAGAAAGAGTGAGAAAGGCAGACACAGAAATAAATAAATAAAGAGAAAAGAGGAAGGAAGGAAAGAAAGAAGGAAGGAAGGAAGGAAGGAAGGAAGGAAGGGGAGGGAGGAGGGAGAAGTAGAGATAAACAGAAAGAAAAAAGAAAGAAAACGAGAATGAGAAAGATGAAAGAAGGAAGGAGGAAGAAGGAGAGAAAGAAAAAAGGAAAGAAGGAAAAAGAAAAACAAGAGAAAGAGAGAAAAAAGGAAAAAGTACAAAAGAAGGAAAAAGAAAAAGGGATAGTAAAGAAAGACAGAGAGGTGACAGATCTTTGAAAAAAATTGTGGTTCCCCCCCCCCAAAAAATGTTTTTTTTTACACAAACACACACACACACACACACACACACAGAGCTGTGGGATCTCTGGGTGGCCTCCCATCCAATCCAAACTAAGGCTTGACTCTTCTTATTAGCTTCTGCGGACCAGCCAGGAATTGCCTCTTCAACAGCCCAGAAGGTTTGCACTCGAACCACCGGCCTTCTGCGTATGCTCAGAGGCTCTCTCTCTCCTCCCTACGAGACCATGAAAGAGTCTCTCTGGAGTTGGCCATTCTCCTCCTCCTCTCTCTCTCTCTCTCTCTCTCGCTCATCCTTTCCTCTTCCCTCTGCAGATACCGAACCCCTTCGGAGCTGCACAACGACAACTTCTCCCTCTCCACCATTGCCGAGGGATCGCACCCAAATGTAAGGAAATTTTGTGACACCCCGTGTAACCACTCCCCCCACGCCCGTGCATTGGCTTACTATGATAACATTATATGTCAGGTAACGTGTCTTCTTCACCTCTCCCGTCCTTTGGCATGCCTCCTGCTGTCCCCCACCCTCCCTTGCCTCCGTTGTCCCCCACGCATGCTCGGCTTGGCTGCTGCTGCTCTTGGTCCACTCCTGGGAGGCTGCACCTTAAGGGGATCCATCTGGGTTGCCCCTTCCGAGGCTGCACCCTCAACGGATCATTCCGGGTTGCCACCGCTTAACCGAGTTTGGTCAAAAAACATTTGAGATGTCTGCGGTAAGATGGAAAGTCCAGCTAGTCTGTCCGGTTTCCGAAAGGTTCCCTAATTAATTTGTGAGCCTCGAGCCAAATTTCAAAAGAAATCCAGTCATTTATTAGGAACAAGATTTAGGCAATACCCCATTTGCAGTCGGGTCTGATTTATACGGGCTTGTATTGATTTAATTTACACTTTGCTCGGCTCTTAGCAACTCTTGACTTTCTGCAAGTACAGATGTAGGCGAAGATAAGAACAAGGCAGGACAAGGAAGAGGCAGGAACGAGAAATGGCCAAAAGCCACCTGGAGTCCTCCGGGATTGGGCAGCCTATAAATCTAATAATCTAATAATGATCTAATAAATTAAATTAAAAGTGGGCGAGAACAAGGAGGACTGTGGGGTCCTTGGTGCTCTCTGAGCTGGGTATTTTTACCTGTAGATGCTCCGTGAAGTTAGTTAACAGTGAAGAACCAGAAAGGGGGGGGGGATTTGGATCTCGGGGAGTATCGTGTTCCAGCTGAAAAGTCACCTAAAAACAATCCAGAGCTTCAATTGCACGATCTCAGCCATCAATTTTTGGACCAAACTCTGTGACACCCCTGGTAGGTTGCCCGGATGTTTTAGAGGTCCAAAGTCTGCCTCCCTAAGGGTGATTCCCTTCCCACCCACCCCACCGCTTATGGGGCCCTGCATGACATTGGACCACGAGCAACGCAGCACCCCTCTCTCCCCATGAGTGTTCCTCCTCCTGGGGCTTCCGATCCTCACCTGGTCTCCACGAACGACCAATTTCTCTTAAAAGCTGTTGGAGGTGGCGGCATCGCGACCTTAATGCCCGTTGCACCCTATATTCCGCATGTAGCACCCCCTCCTACCAGGGGCTTCAGGGGAAGCTGGGGCTGCCCAAATGGCATCTTTCCGAATTTTTACCGAGCTCACAGGAAGCCTGCTTAGGATTCTTCCTTAGAGGGCAATCCTTGACTGCCTTGGCAATTGCATTCGGACAAGTTCCTCTCGCAGCTCCAGAGCTATTTTAGGGATCTTGCATTAGATTGAGGGGTGTGATCAAGATGTGGGGAAAAGAAGATAGGCCCACATTTTCCCTCTAAGAGCCGAGGTGGCGCAGTGATTAGGGTGCAGCACTGCAGGCCACTTCAGCTGACTGCTATCTGCAGTTCAGCGGTTCAAATCTCACCGGCTCAAGGTTGACTCAGCCTTCCATCCTTCCGAGGTGGGTGAAATGAGGACCCAGACT